AATCGGATGAGGCATTGCTGAGAATTTGTTGAAAAAATTCGTTCGTCCTGGTACTTTACGGGTTAACTGATAATTTTATGTCGTTTTCGTTTTTGCAGTGTAGCTACACCGGTGCCACACCACCGAAAACCGAAAAAAATTCCTACCTAAATACCTATCGGTTGCACCTTAATTTACAAACCAATGATGATGAGCTGTCAATGACTCGCACTTATTGCTGGTTACACTACACTAGTGTAGCAACGACATTAGAGAAATAATCAGTACATTTTTCATGCTGACCAAATCGTGATCCAGAAATCGACGAATTACTCATAATTACTGGGCACTCATTACTGCAAATTTTTCGTAAACATATTGTGAAAACCTTGCTGTTAAACGCTACACTAACTATTTGTGTAAAAACTTTATATAATATCCACAACAAGTCTGCAGAAAAAGTGAAAGTTGGTGCGCGTTTTGTTTATATCCAACTTCACGTACACGAGCTGTCAAAAAAGACTGTCGTCTTCTTCTTCTTTCCTTTATTTAACATCGGTCTCTGTTCTTGTGGTCTCCTAAATTCATCAAAAGAGTATCGTAGGAGACGGACCAGCAGCACAGCAACTAAAGAAGCAGCAGCATTGGAAGCAGCTGCAGCCGTGGGAGCTGAATCGCTAAATCGTGCTGCCGTGGCCGAGGCTGGAATCCTCGGTCCGGTGACGACACCACTGTCAGATGTTCTTTGTCTTCTGTTCATCTAATGAACGGATAGAGCCCGGATAGGAAGAAATTAAGACGGGACTTCCATCACGGGAGTCTGTGTAATGAATTTGATAACGGAGCTGGAGGATATCATGAACCCGGGAGGGATGACAACTTTGGGTGATAAAGATGAGCACTTTTCCCCGTTATGTTGGAATTGTGGAGTGTTGCTATGCAAGCGATTGCCCTGATTTCTTCATTCTGGGTGGTCGGAATGATTGTACGTAGCCCAGCGCAAATGATGTACCAACTTCTTCGGGCAGAAATCAGGATGTGCACTGACAATTCGATTTAGGAGAATCCATGGCGTGACTTGGTGCTGACTCACGGTTGTGGTTTGAAAAAATGGATTGTTGTGGCAATTTCAAATCAATAACAAATTTTGACACATGCACACTGCACAGGCGCAGAAAAAGTTCAGTGTTGGCAGTAACTGTAAATATCAGACAAATTGTAACCATGGGTGCCAAATAGTGCCAATGACTGTGCTCAGGTGTGCCCAAGCTAGGTTTTATTATGTTTACCCTTGAATTTAAATACTATCAAACATGGAAAAGAACATTTTTAAATATCTTTAAGTATACAGAATCATTCTCGACAGAACCAATGAATCTCAACTTTATATAGATGAGATGAATAATTTTCAATGGAAAATCACGTTTTTATGATGATTTAAAATTAAACGTAGTTACGTGAAAATATCATGACGTGCTGAGGATTAAATCTCCTTAAAATATTCTCATAAGTTCCAGAAACAATCTGCATGGGTTGGTTGATGATGTTATTTATTTCCTTGGATTTTTTTTTGCGTGATCAAATTTCTTGATAATGTATAGTCAATCAAACTTTTATGTAAAATGATTTATTTTTTTTTAATATGTACTGTTCTTTTTTTATTTTCTTAGAATAAATGTTGTTGATAATTAATTAATGTTTTTTTATTAAAATAGTATAGAAAACTAAGGTTCCGTGGTAAGCAATATATTTGTAGCAAACAACATTTCAAGACTAATAATTCCTTGTAAGATAACAGGGAGTAAATTCTAATCTTTCAAATTCTATAAACGTAAATTAATTTAAAGGTAAAAAGTACCAGTGCGTTGAATTAATTGTTATTACATTATTTTTTTTCCTTGATTTGTTTTCCGTCGATCTTGTTTTCCATGCTGAGCACCAATGCTACCGACGCCAGGAGGGCAGCTCCCACACCTGGACCCTACCTATCGACCCATCAACTCATGAACCAGGGACCAACGGCTTTACTTCCCTTGCGAAGGAAGGCGTGAACAGAGATGTTATGCCTCAGAACATCCCGGTGGCGTCGACTGAGATTGAACCTAGGCTTGCTGGGGTGTGAGGTAATTACGCTTACCACTACACCAACGGTGCCACTGATTGTTATTTAAATGAATTAACATCTCAAATCATCCATTGTTAATTTTATCCTGTATATCCATTTTACCTCCACTTTCCCGAACAATCACATTTCTGCGAAGGGTAAAAATAAGATTATTCAGATCGAAAAGATTGAGAATTCAGGTTTAAAAACTGAAAAATTTAGTAAAATCTGCAGGTTGACAAAATTGGGAAAAAAAGCTGACCCAAACGGGGGTACAACAAATCGGGAGCTGACAAAATCGGGAAAGTACTGCAGTTACAACTTCTTCTCAGGCGTCATTTTGTACATAGAGGAAATGGCTCTAATGTTGGCCTATGGATCTAAGATTATGATCAAGATGAAAATTATCAATTTTATTTAGATAAATGGTCATTGGGACGGTACGAATGGATATTTTTTAATCGCTGTTGAAAATTTGGTTTATTGCTGAATTCATGTATAGGCCTAAATTAGGGGCATTTATGTCGGCTTTACATTCATTTCCAGCTTATCCGTTTTCAAGCTATGATTTTTTGAAAAACAATAAAACCTAGTTGAAGATGCAAATTTCAAATAACAGACTAAAATGGCAATTTTTATTATTTTATAATTTTTATAGGAGTATAGAGTATAGAGTTGATAGTTCCGTCAGAGTACGGCAGTGTCAAAATTTTAGAGAGCAGAAAGCAAGCAAGGACAACTTTTTTAGGAAGGTACAAATCGATTGATTGATTGATTTCTTTATTATAGAGACGTTCAGCCGGGTACACATCGGTTTGAACATCTCTCTTTACTAAACTCCCCCGTTAGAGAGGGATGGTAACGGGCTTCTCCACCCCTCTGCCACCACTGACAAATAGAGATGATCACCGACTCGCTCATGTACCGACGATGTGTTTGAAACAGTTCTACCGATTGTACCACACTCAAGTTGTTATCTGAAGGAAGGCATCTAGGTTTGGAAATTGCAGCTATTGTCACCTCTACACGGTATGTGCTCGTGTCATCGTCGAATTGACAATCGCAAGAGGACAGGAGTAGGGTAGGTGCTGCTACTGTACCTTTTAATTGATGGTAAGCTCCCATACTGAGCTAAGTACTTTATGACTGGATGCCTTCCTTCAGCTAACAACTTGAGTGCGATACAATCGATAGAACTCCCAAGTAACCAAAAGTTTCGCATTCAACGATTAAAATCACTTCCAAATTCCATAAAGTTCCGACAGAACTTTTAAGTTCCATAAAGTTCAAATAAAGTTCCGACAGAACTTTAAAGCCACATGAAGCAATCCGCACAAGTCTTTATTACTAACAAAATTTAATGTACGTAAATATGAAATGATCAGTGGCCCGAATTAATCATAATTCTTATATTTATGCAGTGCATCAACATTCTATCCAAACATAAAATAATAAAATAAGAGAGTAATTTCCTGGATTCGAATCCGTGTATTCGGCATGTCCTCTATGATTGCTAACCACTGCGCCACAAGTGTGTTGGAATACCATGCGGGCAAACACCAATTTAAAATTCATCAAGGTGTTGTGTTTCATATTCAAGACAGTCACCTGGCACTGGAAACTCCAACAGTAGGCGGGACAACAGCTCACTTTAATATATCTCAGATGACGTAGCGGTTCGTGCTGGGGCTCTCACGTAGAAAGACTGGGTTTCATTCTTCAAACAGCTCCAATACTACTACTAATGCTGATAAGTCAATACACGTTCATACTTGCCTTAAGAAATAACTCTCATAAATACCTGACTTTTAGCATTAACCTTCATAAAAGGGCGAACTTCAATAAAAAATTGTTGTAGATGACAAAACCATTTTTAAACTTTTTTTCTAAAAGTTTCGTTCAAGTTCCGCCAGAAGCTGCTTAGAATGCTCTTCAATTATGGTACCGAAACTTTCAAGTTCTTATAACGACTTAAAATGAGGCTGCTTAGAATTCTATAGACCACTTTCAACCAAGCTGCTTAAGCCACAAATAGCCTTTTATCAGAACATTTGGTTACTTTGGCTGTTTCAAACACATCGTCGGTACATGAGCAAGTCGGTGATCATCTCTTTTTGCCAGTGGTGACGGGGGTGGGGGATACCCCTCACCATTCCACTCCAACGGGGGAGTTTGGTAAAGATAGATGATCAAACCTGTAAACCAAATGTACCTTCCGAAAAAAGTTGTGCTTGCTCGCTTTTTACTCCCTAAATACAATTTTCACACTGCCCCGTACTCTAACGGAACTGTCAACTCTTTACTTTCATCTCCTCATCTATCGTATAAAAATTGCCACTTTAGTCTGTTATTTGAAATTAGCATCTTCAACTATGTAAAGTATTAACTTCACGCAGAAGTAATACAAACAAATAGCTGAAGTAATAAAACCAATTTTTTACACAAGCCCTTGCAAAATGTAAGTCCGGAAAAATTGTCAACATTACAATGCAAAATGTCATCTTGGGTAGCAACCAACATATGTGCAAAGTTTTATTCAAATCTGAAAGTGTCAAGGGAAAACTGGCTTTATTTTTGACGTTTTGAGCTGCAAATACTTTAAGTTCCACTCGCGTCCTGGAGTGTGGCCCGTGCAAGTGGGACCTGGCCTTCATAATACCCCCTTATGAAGAAAAACGACAAGTGTTTCATCCACTCACCCTGTTACTCCATCCCATGCTTTCCAACGAATCCTATCTTATCTTCCTCCCCTCATTAAATTGGCAGGGATATACAAATGAAAAACGTTAGGAAACGAATCAAGGCAAAGTCGATGGATGTTTTATTTTTACGTTGCTTCTATGTATATTATGCAGATTATGGAACCCTCCCCCCGGGGATGGTCATCGTAGTTATCACTCCAAGCCGAATTCATATAAAAAAGTCATTTTCTTTATTTGATACGTTCAAAAAGTACAGAATGAACGAGCAACCCTAATCCGAACAACTCGTTTCTTCGATCGCCCGAATATAATAAACTCTTTCAACTATGTTAACACTTGCACTCCCACACACAAACAACACTCACGCACTTTTCTATTCGTATATCGTATGAATATGAATCTCGTTTTTTCGCATGAAATCACTTTCCACCGCCGTCCAGCCCCAAGTTCCAACACCGGCTGTGAGGAGGCTGTGATGACGATGACTCATTAATCTTGTGCTTTCCTACCTCCTAGCGTTTAATAGACTCTTCCGACCGTTTCGCACACTCATTCTCGCTCATCGTTATGCCACCGACCGGGGATAAACATTTTCATTCCACTACACAACACTACGCGACTAAAAACACTAAATCCGAGATTCGGTGATGGGGCGATGGAACGGGGGGGAAGGACTCTCCCCCCCTTATGTATGTGTACTACTAAAAACGGATTCCCGTTTCGCCTGCCGTCTGTTTTTGCTGTGATTCCTTCCGGGGCGGGGGTTCTGTTGCTTGTATTTACAAGTTGTCTCACTTAAGAAATCATTAGTCATTCTGCTTCGCACACGATGATGGTGTCGACAAAACACTCATTAGTGACTAATTACAATTAATTTGTCGAGATTCACTGGTCAATTTGCGTTCTCCTTTTCTGCGCGTCAAATCCATTTGAAGTTTTGGGACTTTTTAGCAAGTACAATGCGCCCTACCAAAGTAATTTGATTCCATGGAGGCGCATGGTCGTTCTCGCAAAATCATTTACAAACTAGCATACGTTCTAATGTAGATGCTTAAATACAAACTCTCACAGGCTCTTTTATGTACACTGGTGACCGACTGGTGCTTAACTCTTAGAACACATCCTTGCTTTTCCTTAGAATACCACGAAGGGGAACAGCGGTGGCAGCAGGTACTGCCGAAGTTGCCGCCGATCCACCTCCCACACAAGTACTGCTACCGCCCAAACTGCTGCTGGTCGTGATGGCACTGGACGAGGTTCCGATGCCCATGATCGATGCCGACGTCGACGAATCGTCCCCGATAATGGCCACCGTGGTGATGGTAATAGCTCCAGATGGGCCGCTGCCACCATCCTCAATGGAAATGCCATCATCGCCGGTCGTCGGCGACTCCGTTCGTTAATCGAACCGCTCGATGACGTTTGCCGGCAGTTTGCCCGGTGGCGGAGGAGGCGGCGGGATGCACATTTCATCGATGGTACAGACCCGGTCGGTGTACGGGAACTTGAAGTTGATTTCACTACCGGCGGCCGTCAGGATCGAGGTCTCCGTGCCATTCTTCTCCATCATGGTATCTGTAATGTCACAATTATTTCATTTGAATAAATTTCTTTAATTGTCGTCAAATCGACGATAAATAAAACAGACCTCGCTTCTCTTCGTGCGTGTAGTACCGTGCCCGGTGACGGGAGAAGCAAATCGCCGTTGAAACCACGATTATCGCCAGAACGATGAACAGCATCAGACCACAAAAAGCAAGCAAACTAACGCTCCCGGCTGTAATTAGGCAAATTAAATAACAGAATTAACACGAATCTGGCTCAAGCCATCGTCGTTTTATTGCAGAGCTACCTTGTTCCAGAAAATTATGCGATGTGCTGGCGGCGTCATGGTCCTCGTCGACAATCACCTCCATGCAGACTTCGACGCTCGCCGGTTGCAGGTCATCAATCGGTATGCCCCGCAAACGTTCCGGCAGAAAGCAGACGGGTTTCTCCGGCCATGGCAGCTGCATTTGATGATGGAATGACACATAAAATCAAATCAAAGATTCGTCCCCGGTTCAACGTTATTACTGACAGGCGGATAAATGAAATCGAAAAAAAAAAAATAGAAAGAAGTGCAACCATACGTACCTCGGTGGCCGCCATGTCGATGAGCGCTCCCATGTGGCATCGGTCGCATATCAGGGGATTATTGTCCATTCGCAGGTCGGCGATCCGGGCCAGCTGCGATGCATGGTGAACCTCAACCCCGGACAGCTGGTTGCGGGACAGGTCCAGAAGCTTTTGGCAAACGGTGGATGGAGGGAGAACGAGAGGTTAACAAAACTTTTCAATGGAAGGTAATATTAGTTTCCCGAGAATGGCGTGCACTCCAGGAGAGGTTCTCCACGTTGATGGGTTTCTTAGGAAAGAGAGCGAAATGTAGCTAGTAGGGGAAATGGCTCTCATGTTGGCCTATGGATCTAAGATTGGGCCCATCGCTAAAAATCTGCTATTTATCAATTTTATCCAGATTAACGGGTCATTGAGATGTTACTAATGGATATTTTTGATAGCTATTAAAAATTTAGTCGATTGTTGAAGTTATGTATGGGCCCAAATTAGAGACATTTAGGCCGACATTACATCCTTTTCCCCTATGTACACAGTCTAACAGGATGTATTATTGAATTGCTTTGACTTGTCTTTCCAATGTTCATTTTTTGTTTAGTTCTGGCTGGCTTTTCTATATGATATGGGTAAAGGCTAAAATCAAGGGGTTTCAGATCGTTATCCTCCGTACCTGAGTAAAGACTAGTTGGTCTTGAGTAGTGTTTGCTACCCGGGAAAACCATACTTAACATTAATTTTAAATAAGAATGATCACACACCAGAGGATTTACTTGGGTAAAATCAAAGAAATCATATCAAGAAGACTGGCAACTTTGCCCGGATTCAAGCGACAGATACCGTAGCGCTGCACTTGAGCGAAGGTGGAAGCAACGCATAGAAAAATGAGCAAATACACAAACCTTTCTTCGGAGGATGTAATCTATGCTATCAAATTCGTTCGAAGCATTTCCCTTTGAGCGATAGATGACGCAATTGTACCTGTCTCATAGCGGTCGTATGAGAAAATGGAAGAGTTGCCAGTCTTTTTGAGATGTTGTCTTCGGTTAAATTCAAGAACCAATGTAGAGGAGCCAGTAGACAGTTCTTGGGGACTCTGGAGGATGCTGCCGGGAAAAGTCGACAGCAATTTCCATGGGATCACTGAAAATACTTCCCGTAGAAAGTGGAAGCCACTTTCAGACGAAGCAAGAAGGAATTCGTAAGAGTCTTCTTGGGAAGTCAGAAGAAACTTCCGGGGGAAAAAAGTAAAACAAATCTGGGGAAATCAAAAAGCTGACAGAAACTTCCGGAGAAAGTTGGAAACACTTTTGGGTAAGGTTGAAAGAAGTTTCCCGAAAAAGTTTGACGAATCTTTTGTGCAAAGATAGAAAAGCTACCAGATGAAACCAGTAGACGCTTCTGGGGCAAGCTGTGAGAACTTTACAGGTGAAATTGGAAGAGATTTCTTGGAAATGTGAAATGGAATTTCTTGTAGTCATGCAGATTTAGACAGCAAGAAGAAACATTCAGAAGAATTCAGAAGAGTATTCTGTGGGAAGTCAGAAGGAACTTTTGAAATCGCAAGGAAAATCAGGAAACACCATTATCAGTTGAAGATGCTAATTTCAAATAACAGACTGTAGTGGTAATTTTTATACGATAGATGGAGTAGATGAAAGCATAGAGTTGATAGTTCCGTTAGAGTACGGCAGTGTGAAGATTGTATATAGGTATTAGAATAGCGAACTAGGACAACTACCATCAATTACTGTCAATGGTCGAAAGGTACAGTAGCAACACCTACCCCACCCGTGTCCCCTCGAGATCGTCAAGTCGACGATGACAGGAGCACATATCGTGGTAGGGGTAAACAATAGTTGCAATTTCCAAACCTACGACTGGATGCCTTCTTTCAAATAACAATTGAAGTGCGGTAAAAATCGGTAGAACTGTTTCAAACACACAGTTGGTACTTGAACGGGTCGGTTTTCATCTCTTTTTGTCAGTGGTGGCGGGGGGGACACCCCTCACCATCCCTCTCCAAAGGGGGAGTTTGGTAAATTTTTGGTAAATTTGGTAAATTTAATGTCTTAAATCTAGAGTTAAAGGAATTGAACCGATTACTCGCGGTCGTCTCGAGGTTAGTGGAGATTTACAATTTTTTGGATGGGGAAAGGGAGAAGGAGGTTTGAAATATGATTTATTATACAAATATTTAATTAATCCTAAAACATGAACTTATTTCTATTCATCTTGAAGACAAACATTAAAAAAAACCTACACGCACAATACACAAACTAAACACAAGGTTAATCAAACTTACAATCTAAGGTTAGTATTCTTAAAGTAAACATGTATGAGTTTCATAAACTCCAGATCGCGTCTAGCCAAAATATCCCGAACTGGAACATTAGGTTGTCTACCTCGAGCCCGAAGGGAATCGCACAGCTCAGATCTGACTCCACGATGCTCAGCACAAGACCAAAGGATGTGATCGGCGTCTTGGTAACCTTGTCCATATTCACAGAGATTGCTGTCTCCCAGCCCAACACGAAACAAGTGAGCGTTTAACGAATAGTGATTGGACATGAGGCGAGACATCAGACGAATGAAGTCTCGACCCACATCCAACCCCTTGAACCAAGGACTCTTCGACACCTTAGGGATGATCGAGAATAGCCATCGTCCCAAACTTCCTTCACTCCATTTATTTTGCCAGCTGGTGAGCGACTGTTGACGATAAATGAAGAAAAATTCATTGCAGGCGATTTGTCGATCGTAAATATCGCCTTGCATAGCGCCCACCTTAGCAAGTGAGTCAGCCGTCTCATTGCCCGGAATCGAGCAATGAGATGGGACCCATGCAAAGGTGATGACAAAAGATCTTAAAGATAAAGCACTTAAAAGCTCTCGTATTTTCATGAGAAAATAAGAGGAGTGCTTTACCGGCCTCATAGAGCGAATAGCCTCGACAGAACTGAGACTATCCGTAAAAATAAAATAATGATCTGGTGCAAGTGAGGCGATCTTTTCTAGCGTATAATATATTGCCGCCAGTTCAGCAACATATACGGAACAAGGAGCTTGAAGCATTCGAGAGGTGCTATGAAATTCGTTAAAAATACCAAAACCAGCGGACGACTCTATTAGTGATCCATCTGTGAAGAACGATCTTGCGGAATCAACTTGGCCAAACTTTGCAGCGAAAATTGACGGAACAATCATGGAACGATGATGTTCTGGGATTCCACGAATCTCCCGCGTCATAGATAAATCAAAACTAACTGAATTGCCGAAGTCGGAGAAGCATACACGATGGGGATTATGCTGTGAAGGGCTGATATCCTGAGTTATGTACACGTAGTACAATGACATAAAACGAGTTTGAGGGTTTAGCTCAAGAAGCTTCTCAAAGTTTTCGATTACCAGTGGGTTCATAACTTCACAACGGGTGAGGAGCCTAAGGGACAATTCCGAAAACCGATCCGATAGTGGCAACATGCCCGCCAACACTTCGAGACTCATCGTATGAGTCGAGTGCATGCATCCTAACGCGATACGAAGACAACGATACTGGATACGTTCCAGTTTGATGATGTGAGTTTTAGCCGCCGACTGGAAGCAAAAACTACCGTACTCTAAAACCGATAAAATCGTTGTCCGGTACAACGTTAGAAGATCTTGCGGATGAGCTCCCCACCACGTTCCGGTAATTGTTCGGAGAAAATTGATCCTTTGTTGGCATTTTCGTCTCAGATACTCAATGTGAGATCTCCAGGTGCATTTGGAATCGAACCAGACCCCAAGATATTTGAAAGACATGGAATGAGTGATCGGCTTACCCAAAAGTTGAAGCTTCGGTTGTGCTGGGATTCGATATCGAATTCGATACCTAGCTGGATAGCCCAAGTAGACAAATTGTCTAAGCTGTCCTGTAAGGGTCCTTGCAGGTCGACCCCTTTGGGCCCTGTCATAGACACTACGCCATCATCTGCAAGTTGTCTCAACGTGCAGTTGTCACTTAGACAATTGTCAATTTCTCTGACATAGAAATTGTACAAAAGGGGGCTTAAACATGAGCCCTGGGGGAGACCCATGTAACTAAATCGAGAAGCTGTAGAGTTTCCATGAGAAAAGCTCATATGTTTCTCTGACAGCAAATTGTACAAAAAGTTATTAATTAATGGGGAAAGGCCACAAGCGTGGAGTTTGTCTGAAAGGACTTCAACCGATACTGAATCAAAAGCCCCCTTAATATCCAAGAACACAGAAGCCATTTGCTCTTTTTTAGCAAAAGCCAACTGGATTTCTGTGGAAAGCAACGCGAGACAGTCGTTCGTTCCCTTACCCCTACGGAAACCAAATTGAGTATCTGAGAGTAGGTGGTTCGTCTCAACCCATTTGTCGAGGCGAAAAAGGATCATTTTCTCCAACAATTTTCGAATGCACGATAACATCGCGATGGGACGATACGAGTTATGATCTGACGCGGGTTTTCCAGGCTTTTTAATGGCTATAACTCTCACTCGCCTCCAATCATCTGGAACAATATTGAACTCCAGGAACTGACAAAACAAGTTCAACATGCGCCTCTTAGTGACGTCTGGGAGGTTCTTCAACAAGTCGAACTTGATCCTATCAGCCCCCGGAGCCGAATTGCGACACGAAAGGAGCGCGAGTGAGAGCTCCAGCATTGAAAAAGGCTGGCTGATCTCGTCTACCGGATTCGTCGTATCGCGAGGAATCATCTGTGCCGGCACGGAAACAGGACATACTTTTCGTGCGAACTTGAGAATCCACCGATCCGAGTACTCCTCGCTCTCGTTGTTTGAAGACCGGTTACGCATCCTTCGCGCCGTGTTCCAAAGCGTATTCATCGACGTTTCGCGCGATAAACCGTCCACGAATTGCCGCCAGTATCCGCGTTTCTTGGCTTTGATGAGGCTCTTGAGTTCGTGTTCAAGAGTCGAGTACGCTTCGAAATACTCGGGTGTTCCGCGTTTCCGGAAAAGCTTAAACGCGTCGGACTTTTTACGATAAACCTCAGTGCATTGCTGGTCCCACCAAGGGGTAGGAGGTTTCCTACGAAAAGACGTTCCTGGAACCGGCCGAGTTTGAGCTCGAAGCGCGCTGTCCAAGATCAGATTGGAGAGGAAGTTATATCCCTCCAACGGTGGAAGCTCTTCTAC